GGACCTCGCAGTGCCCCGGCGCGTGAGCCTCAGCTATGTGACAGCCGACAGGCTGCAGCTATATGACCGTCATCTTATGCGACGCGCAACAACGACTCGCCTACACATCCTGGACCACCAATGCACAACCTCGTGAACGTCCCACTTTTGCTCTGTCTTAACATGGCCTGGGCTGATTTCACGGTCGGGAGGTGGGTCCGTGAGGAGGGAGTATGACTCTCAATGATGTGTCATACTCTCACATCAATGTTGATGTGGGAGTATGACATCGTGTGATGATAGGATTCCTCTCAGAACCGAAGTCCTTGAACTATTCCCGACAGCGGATGATAATGACGATGCCAACTTAACTTCAGGTTAGTCATATGGATTCAGTCGAAGCATGAAATCGATCATCAATTGTTGTGTCCATTTCAGAGGGTGGGAACTATGAGAAGCCCATAGGTAAATGCCTCCTTGATAGAGTTGGGGAGCTGGTTGGTTGTAAATGCAACACTCCCGACGCGCTGTATTACGGTGTAATCTTTAACGACCCCTCTCACTCAGATATCCGTCGCATTGTTGTACTAAGTCTGAATTTATCTTATCTCTTTCAGAGCTATCAGGATTTTGTAATCTATGCAGCGGTCTGTGGTGGCGACTGTGTGGGAAGCAACGACTGTCCGAAGCCTCCTACCGGATCGGCGCAATGCAATTCTCTCGTATGCGTTATCGGATGCAGCAATGATAAAGTAGACCCAGCTCGCTCCGATACTGGCCTACAAGTGGCGTCTTCTCAGGACTGTCCTAAAGGGGGGTTTTGTCTAGATAGCGGGGACCAAGCGAAGTATTGCTCTTTCCACAATTGATCAACACCCAATCAAGGATGATCACTCGTGAGCGGTATTTTTGGCCCAGGGCCGATGGTCCTACTATTCGGGCCGTCTCTATTTTGTCTATCTTAGCCTCGATTTCTGATAGACTCTGACGTGTATGGATGTCAGTGAGACCTCCCTCCACCTTCTACGCATTTCTAGCTCGGCCGCCCAATCGGCGTCACGCCCAACGCTGGCGTGCGCTGATGATCGGAGACGGCACGAAAGTTGATTGCCTGTGAGCTGTCTCTTTGTTCGTCCCTTTTACTCATATCTATCGTTAGCCTTTTATCTTCATCTTCTGATGGACACTCAGTCCTCATCTGTAAGCGGCGCCCAATCGGCGTCCCCGCCTCGTATGGAGGTTGAGTTGCAACCAGTTAACGGAGGGTTTGAGCCAACCGACACGGCGGTTATCAGAAGATGGTTAAATTCTCCGGATCTCGGAGCCGCGTTCCGGGAGTCGGACTTCAGGGCTCCAGAAGTCTCAGACGAGACGGTCGACATGCTTCTCTCCATGTACCTCGAGCTGGACCGTCTAGGCGTGAGCGCCGCCGAGGTGCGCCCGGCCCTTGGTGGATGGGCTGCGGCTATTGCTAGCAACATCCCCCCTAACCGTGCGACTGCGGATCCGGCGGATCCTGTCATTTATGGAAAGGCGGTTTTCTCTACTCTGGTCTATGTTGGGCAGATTCATGGTTGTTCGATGGAATGGTTGTTGTGGTTCTCTGCGGCTCTAGCGACCATGGTGGTCAAGCGGTGCTTCAGGTTACAGCGTTGCCTTCCGATGGGTAGCGACAGGACCTACGTCGGGGCCTTCCTCGAGGCTCGAGTGAGCGTGTTTTCAGAACCGTCTCAGAGCACTTTCGGTATTGAGGAAGTAAGCCGCGTGAATCGGCGCACCGGCCTTGAGGGGCACGGCAGAGCTGAGAGTGTGTACAAGCTCCCACTCGAAACTGAGAATTTCCATGGGGGGACACCCGATCTCCCGTATGCCGCCTTCAAGCAAAATGTGCAGACGGCAGTCAGATTTTATGGCATTACGTCTGATCGGGAAGCTCTACTCTATGTATTTCGGCATTTATCAAAGGGCCTGCGTTGGGAATTGATTTCACTGGCGGGAGTGCATAATCCTCCGTTGGCGACGGTGTGGAAGTTGCTCGACGAAAAGTTCGGCACAAGCGACACGCCGGGCACTGTCGCAAATCGATGGGAAGCCTTTAGTCAGAGAGAAGGGGAGTCAGTCTCAGATATGTACGCGCGTTTGCTGAGAGAGCGGGCTTTGTATGCGCAAGTGACTGGGACGCAACTGCCCGCAGCGGTTGTGGCCGCCAAGTTCGTATCAGCGCTTGCACCACCTT